GAGCATCATCCAACATCAATCCTTCATTTTCTCTTTAAAAACTACTAAGCTTTGAAATTAGCTGTTTTTAGGTATATCGCTTAAGTTATGAGCATCTAAAAGTAGCTATCATGGTCAAACTACTTAAACACTCTACTACCCCACAGGAAGAAACACCCAGCTAACAACATCATATGACATAATGTGAGCATGTGCTATTTCAGGCTACATAACCAGTAAAGTATTTTCTCCTGATATCAGCCCAATATTAAAACTTGGTATCAGGTTGGTCCCATTTCTTTTTGGTTACTGAGATTAATTAGGGTTAGGTTTAGGATTGGGCTGAGAAAATCCTTATTGCATAAAGGTAAACAAAATTCTTATTACATAAATTACATTACGTACAATACTGTCCATATGTGTTAGGCATCTAATAAACTGATATGTAAATCTGTTTATCTGGGCAATAAACAAGTTTATGTTGAAAAACACACACAAAAATAAATGCAAATAAACAATACATTGTAATTTTATATGAGTGTGTAGCACGGCATGTGCTACCCTGGGCTCAAGGAGGACGCTGGAGGCAGGGTTCAGGGCTGCAGCAGCCATGTTCCTTTAATTACACACCAAATGAATACAAACTTAAACCAAAACCAAAGATACACTGGCCACTTTTCAGTGGCTTCAGCCAGCTCAGCTTTTCAGTCTTTAACAAATTCATGCAATAGCTGGAGTGCATCAAAAAGTCAGGAACCAAACTTGTGTATCGGTAACTTTATTAAGAGAAATCTTTTACTGTATTAATGCTTAGTTGTATAATGTTAACCCCATGTATCTCAGGTTTACAATATACTAAGGCTTATTATTCAGTAACTACAAGGACTTTAGTGAAAAAAGCTATTCTTAGGTTATGTAACCTTCAGCCTGCCAATGGGCTCTGGCCATTTAAGGGGTTAAAGTTTTTTTTTTTTAATTTCTGAGTGAAAACACTGGAACCTTTGTGCAGGTAACTTTTTTCTCCCAAAATGTTAAATTCAGTACAGTAGTATGCAGTAAAATGTGCAGAAGTATGTTTTCTGTAGAGAATGTGTACTTCTTTTAACAAATTGACCAGGGGCACCCAAACCTTTGCATGTGACCATGTGTGTGTGTGTGTGTGTGTATGTGTGTGTGTGTGTGTATACACAAGCACATAACTAATGCAATAAGGAATATTGTATGCATCTATTTAATGTATATAAATGTTTTTCATTTAATCATTTCCAACCCTCTCCTCATGGCAGCTTGACATGTATTGCAATTCAATACTTAGTTTGTTATATCAGTGCTTCTTTAAGTCAAGTCAAGTGTGCTGCTGATAGATTTGAAAAACCATGCGATGGCTAGCAGAAGTCAGGAACTAAATTGTTCTTCCAACCAGCTTCCATCTCAACTACAAAAACAAAAAACAAGAAATAATTGTTATTTTTACTGAATTGGTATGTTTGTATTATCATAGTGTTATATAGCGTTTTTACAAGTAAAACCACAATTTCTGCCACTTATGATCCTAGTTCCTGACATTTCACAAATGTGTGTGTGTGTGTGTGTGTGTGTGTGTGTGTGTGTGTGTGAGTCCCATCTCTTCCTCCGCACCCTCCGGCGAGGCGTCTGTCAGGGGTACAGAAAAGTCTTTTTTTTTTTTGTAACAACTGGCAGCCTTTGCCTCTGCAGTTGCTGCTATTTTAGAAAGTTGTTTGTTTCAGTAGGTAGTGCTTTTGGTCTGTTATAGGAATTCTGCCATGCAGAGAAAAAACACACTCTGGGGATTTGGGGAAATGTTTTGTGCTCCCTGGTGGGAGGCTGGTGGAAGGCAGAAGGAGAGAAGCCTAAAGGAAGGGTGGGCACAGCAAACAGTGGGAGGTGGGAAACAGGTGGTGTGTGTGTGTGTGTGTGTGTGTGTGTGTGTGTGTGTATGTGTGTGTGTGTGTATTTGTGTGTATGTGTGTGTACGTGTACACATACATGTGGGATCCACAAAGACACAACAGGGAGTCACTGTTTAACACAATGATTTGGCTAAAAATCAAATGTTCATAATTTTGCACTTACCCCTAATAGCGCTGATCAGTCAAGACATGTTTGGTGGTCAGCATTTGCTTCTTTAGTTTTACACTGGAGCTATGAGGCTGATGTAGCTAGCAAGTAACGGAAGGTTATACCTAATCAATTAGCTTGTCAAGTTGTGAAGTTGTTAAGTAATCTCTAAATAAACTGGCTTATGTGGTTTCTGACACTGTATGATATAGTGTTCTCTATAAAAAATAAAAAAAACAAAAGTGCATTCCGCAGTAAAAAACAGTAGCAGCAGCAATTGTGAAGCCTGAACTTAGTCTCTATGTTTGTCTCTCCTGTAAAACAGGAAGGATTTACAATATTTCTGTCAAAGCTAATCAGGCTGTTAATAATTACTCTCCAATGATAACTGCTGGTATCTATGTTGGAGTAATACATTATGATGGACTTAATAGAAGACGAGGCCACATGGATAACAGCTTTTTCCTGTGTTTTTTTTTTTACCTCTGTATTCTCATAAAACATGACAGAAATCAATTGGAAAGTACGCAAAGATGTACAGTAAAAGTATAAGTAAGATTACTTCTGTGTCAATGTGATGAATCTTTAAGGCGGTAAAGAAAAAAAAGGTCTGTGTGAGAGAGGCTGGATAAAACTTGTAAACAGTCCTGTGGCTCCTTTCTGGCCCACAGAGCTCCGCCCAGGATGGGTCGCCCAGTCTCCTGGAACAATAGACGGGGTTTATCCAAGCATTATGTAATAGGCCTCGGCCCCATGTCAGAAATCACTCATGTCTGGATAGTATAAAGTGTGAGGTGGTCTGTTCGGACATTCTGGAGATGGACATCTCCACTATCTGGCCTGTGTGTGAACTCTGGAATGTGGGAACATGCTGGTCCCTAGAGGATGCTGAATGGGTGTGTGTGTGGGTGGCAGTGTCTTGTTTATGTCTCATTATTTCCTTAGATGCGGTGTCAACAGAGCAATGACTATGACCCTATAGCACTCTGACTTAGTCTAACACAATGAATTTCTGTTATAGCACACTGTACAAGAATATAGAAGGTTGCTATATGGTTCTTGGCTTGAGTGTATGATTCTAGGACAATTTGTACAGAACGTTTGATCTTTGGAACTTTTATATATGGAGGTTCAAACTATACAATATTTACATCTTACTATCTCACTATACTATAAATACATCCCACACTCATATATCTCATCTACAAAAATAAGGATTATCCACCGACTGGTTCTGTACAGTTGGCTCTTCTATGGCTAGTGGTAATGGCATTGCTCCAAAGAACCCTTTTGGCACCTTTATTTATTACAAACCCTAATAAAAGCAGAGATATTTTTGTGGCTCTACCACTTTTTGCTGCTTTTTCATCTGTATATATGAATCTTCTCTAATTTTCTTATTTATCCACCAGCCTCTGCAGGCATGTGCTCAGCTGACACCTTTGTGATGACTGCTTTGCCTGCACCCAGGAGGACAGCATCTGACCTGGTAAGCTCCCAAAGACTAAATAAAGTTGACTTATGCCCATCAACTGTCCACCGGTACAATACATCTCTATCTGCTTATTATGCCAAATGTTGAATCTCTTTTTTCACATGCTACAGTGTAGCTGGCATTTCACAGGTGTCTTTCAAATTTGAGACACTGTCGGCCACAACACAGCTGAATAAAAGGTTATTTTTAAATGGTAATTTTTAATTGAGTGGAGAAAAGACTGTAAGCTTTGTGGAAATGTAAGAATCGTGCAGCACTCTTTACCAAATAGGGAAATTTGGTGTTTATTACATCATCTACCTTCATGCTTAGCTTTTTTGCTGTGAAAGGAGACGTACAGGCGTGCCCCCCTCCCCCCCTCCAAGGTTTGCCAGGCAGCTGTGAGGTACAGATAAGAAAGTAGAAAGAGAGAGAGAGAGACTGTGTGAGAGAGACTTCAAGAGCCAAAACAAGGTAGAGAGTTTAATACTATGTCGCCCTGAGTCACACTAAAGCTTATTACATTAGCAAGCTAATCAAATTTGTGTGCTCTGCAAGCCCATAATTAAACATTTTTAAGTCTCTTGCTCTTATCATATAATGTGTCTGATGCAGATTCTTACCCCACTACAAAAGAGAATAAATTAGTTGTGCACCACTTGAAGCTACATACCTGCTCAGAAGGTAAAAAAACATTTTTGCAGTAAGATAGTGTTATTGCCCAAAGCATAAGGTTGCTGGTGGAATTATAAATAAAACAAGCAAAACGAGTTCTGTATCTATAACCTATATTCATGTTACATTAGGGGGAGGACAACTACAAAACTCTGCTGAAAATAGACCATTAGAATCATTGGCATTAATACCTGATGATTTTGCTTCCTAATGGGAATTGGCTAAATGGTTACCTCTAGAGATCACTAGTTTCCTGTAGCGCACCTTTAGTCCCTATTAGAAAAGCAAACAATGCGTCTAGAATCAGTCGCAGGTCACTTGTTAAACCATTAGGATCACCAATCACGAAAAACCAAAACAATTTCCAAAACCACCAGGAACCAACAGAAACAGAAATTGGTTTAACTTGTTGAAATGGAACAAGTAAAGACTCTGAATTAAATGTGTGCTTTTTACATTCCGAAGTCAGTGAATTGGAAATAACTGGCAAGGTTGTGCACGAGCGCGACGTGTTTTTTTCCCACCCGTAAAAAAACGCCTCCTGCGTTACGATTGGCCAGTAGCACGTACACACAAGTAGGCCGTCTGAATACGGGTGGGTTGTGAGAATTAGTGTGGAGAAAAAAAGAAAATAACGCGGCGCGCTTGCCAAGAATAGACTGCTTCTAAGTGTGAACTACTAGCCAATCGTAGAGCAGAAGACCGGATAGTGCTAGCCAATCGTAGCGCGGGAGGCGGGGCTTGTCAGAAAATGGGTGGGAGTTAAAATAAAATAGCGCTATACACAAAACAGCAGAGGCCAGGTGCCAGTGGCACTCAGGACTGGGATGTAACGGGTTGCGTTTCGCAGACTGGACTAGACTAATGGTGAGAATGTTGAGACACTACTGGAGCAGCGGTCTTTGCCATGTGCCTCGATTGGAGAGGTCCTAATCCAGACTGTTTTTAATATCGAGTCCGTGTGAAAAAATGCATCTCTTTCGGAGTTACAATTACCAAGTCTACCCTGATCGCTATTCAATGGAGAAAACAACTGTCCGGGGCATTAGCTGGGTAAGTTTACCTGTGATATTAGCCAGCTGTTTTAGACGTGGTGATAGCAAAGCTAATAAAGGTCCTTTGTAATGTGGTTTTAAGCTCAGCATTGTCAAAAACGGCTGTCAAAAGTTTCAGACTTTCTTCAGTGGCACGCAGTTCTTACTGTAACTCGTAATGATATAGTGATTTAGCTCTTGTCTTCAAGACGGTGAGGTAAGATATGAACGTAAAACATAAGGGTGGATGGACATGTATATGGGACGGGTGCCAGCTGCTTACAGGATAAGGACTGGTACATCTGTAAGACCGAAGTATTGTAGGTGCCTGTGTGTGAGCGTGTGTGTAAGCACTTCACCACATCCTCCAGGGATTGGACATGACCCCAAAACACCCAACAAGAGTTGCAAGGGATGCACACAGTGCTTTCCATTGTCCTTGCAAGGGTGTGTGATAGCTGGCCAAAAAGTTTATTAAAAAACATCTATTTATAGCTTATTGTTTATTGTCAACCTCAAGGTTTGATCCCTTACAGTTTGGAAAAGAATGTGCGGGAGCTTTTTTTCTCTCTGTCCTTGTACAGGAAGACCCAGTTTGCTGTAATTCTCATCCAATTTAATATAACCTCAAAAGCTGTCAGCATCTTTTACTGTGGGCAGCTATTTTACAAGGCAATAATGCTGCAGACTCACTCCACAAACATGATTCAGCATATAAAACAACATTTAAGTTTGGTTAGATTTGCTTTCGTTCTTTTGAATTAGTTGCTAAGTTACCCAGCTCTCTTTCCATACTTGGTACTAATATTAACTTTGAGAAGGCTAAAGACCCTGACTTGGCTGTGTAAAACCCTTTCAGAGCTTTGGGAACATTGTAGCCGTATTGTGTGAGCAGTGCTTTGCTGAGTGTATTCAGATGTTTTTAGTGTCCTATAACATGCAAGAATAGCCATCAGTTGCTATTGATATCAGTTACTGATATTTGATGCTATTGATATTTAGGAGATATCAGCAAAAGACATCACTGAGAAATAAAAGTATTAAAGACATAATGGTAATGTTATTAATTAGTCATAAAAAGAGTAGCTGCTGAGCTGTAAAACAGCAACATGAAATTCCTTTCCATATCACACTGATTGAGTTCTAATCTTTAGCTCGTTCATTGGATGCAAAACCGCAGCGATATTTAGTGAACAGTGGTTACAGTTAAGCCAGTTTCACACTGTGCGCTAATCTCAGTTTTGGAGCAGCATGGAAAATGTACACTGATGCTTGTCACCAGTCATGGTCATTAAGATGTGGAGACACAATCCTTGCGTCCCTCTCCTCACATTCCAGCACAGAAGGTGGTGAGTTGCAGAGACTGAGCAGGGCAAAATACTTCACAGTCTCAGAAAGGAGGGCAACAGTGTGAGACGACAGTGTGAGAATACAAAGTATGTGGGAGTATTAGCCCACAAAGGCACCTTTTCGTTGCAACTGTTGCGAGGTTGGACAAGGTTTACAAAACGTTAAAATTGCTACCAAGCTGGACTATGTTTTAAGTAATTGTTGTATCTTAAATCTAAGCAGGTTTCAGAAAGACAATGATAAATTAGCCCCCATGTTGATGTTAGTTTGATTACACAACTAAAGGAAAGACTGCATGGTCTCCTGTTTGACGCAGCTGTCATGAATCGTAAGTTCGATCCCTGGTGATGCCAGAGCGATCCATGGTCGGGAGTCCAAGAGAGTACAATTGGCCCCCTTCCACCATCACTGAGTGTAACAGAATTGGCAATTAGCATTCTCCTTCAAGCGCATTAGGTTGTCATTAGCGGGAGTTCGAAAAAATGCGGCAGCTGGCTTCATATGAGATCTACCTAGCATCTAGCTAACTAAATCTAGCCCAGCTTGGTATCATCAAGTGACAGTGTGAATTGGCCGTGACCAAATTGGGGTAAAAAAATTATGTAAAATAAATAAATTAAATGTAGTCTGCTAACAGTGTGATCTTTTTCATGTTCACAAAACAAACATCATTCAAAATTAATAACACTAAATTTAGATATTTTCACAGAAACAGACCTACAGCTGTGCTACAGTTTTTCAATAGGTTGAACTGGATATTTGCCAACATTCTGTAAAGCTGAGAACTTTGCAAAATTTTAGAAATCTCTAAAGAAGTAGTTACTTTCTTCTTTTACATGTGCCCCTTAATGCTATTTGGGACAAAGAGAGAATTGAATATATGGAGTTCTTTATTCAGTCTTTTTATTCCATGAAATGCACTTTAGTTTAATGGAAGACACTCCTCCACTTTGATACACTGAAGAAACGTTCTTCTCAGGTCTTCATTAGCCTTTGTCAAAAGCCGAGGGTTATTTCCCTCCTTTTCTGTATCATGTGATCCAGCCAGCAGTGCAACAGAGCCTGCACAATTTGCTCAGTCAACAGATCCAGTGGGTGGAGAGAGATTGCCGTGCTACACATGGTAGCAATGAGGAAGACAAGTTGAAATGCCCTGTTTACCACTTGCTCCTATTGTTATTGCGATGGGAAATCAAGCATGGAAAATCAATGATACACCTGTTCACTTTTTAGAAAGCGAGAATCAAGTCTTCAGTATGGTTTATTTCATTCAGAAAGATAACTACTTTGGATATGTCTCAATATTTAATAAGCTGTCTTGCTGCCTGCCACCTATATACATAGATGTCAAGAGACTCTTGTTAGACATCTCCAATTATTCCTATGTACTAATGTTACTTAGATAATTACATTCAACTATAACATCGCAACAAGGTACCTTGGCCAGGCCCCCAGGCAGAGGTCATTAGTTCCAGTCCTAGGTGACTACACTCCAGCATGGTGTAGTGTTGTCTTTGCTGATTACTAAGTTTAGTTAGTGTGTTAGAGCAGGGAAATCACGAAACTTTACTCGTTTCCCACACCTACAAGACTGCTATGGAGAGGGTGTAGACTAAAGGTGTGTAGACCTACAAGTGTGAATTGTTCAAACATAAAAAATTATGACACTGCATGGTGTTATTTATCATATGATTACAGTTCCAAACGTGGTAACAATGTTTTCGCTGCACTGCTTTTTAAAAATAAAAGACTTATTTTTCTTTTTCTGATGCCAGTTTCATCCACCCCTACAGAGAAGAACTGATCATATATTAGTTACAACAGCACTGAATGCATACAAAGCAGGCACAATAAGCCTAATCTGAGCTAAATACCTCTGCATTAGCCAACTAGCTATAGTCACACTTCCTTGAGCTAATATCATGTTATAACACATTTTTTTATAAAGAGAACTGAGAAAAAATAAAAATAAGAAAAAAAACCAAATCCACAAAGAATTTTGTGTAGCTCCTTCCCCATTGCTACTATATTTATATTAAATAAGGCTGTTTCTGCTGTATATTTAAGTTTTAGAGATTTGAAAATTGAGAACTGATCACAAGTTGACAAGTGACAATGACGTTAGTCAGTAAAGCACTATTTAACCAAAATTATTGTGGTACAAAATTAAACTTAAACTTTTTTTGCCCCATAAAATTGATATTAGTATCAACCACAAACATTTTGTATCAATCAAGCCCTCCTACAGTCATTTTCAAAAATACAAAAGTTGAATGTACAGAATATTTTTTCCAACTGTCTTTATCTCTCACTTTTTTCTGAAAAACTGTGGCAATGACTTTGTCTTTTGTCCTTGGTCAGAAAATGAAGCATCCTAATTTTGGCTGGGCCTTCTGTTACAATGTGGACTTGCTACAGCGTTGCATGAAAGGTTCTTTGAGGGTGCTTAGGAGGACCTTTGCACACTCAGGGCTACAAGATCACAGTTGTAGGGATGAGCTAGGTAAGCTAACTTAGTTAGCTTAGTTAGATAGGTAACTGGCCAACTGTTCTGGCAAAAACATACATTGAAAAAATACCATACATTGATTGAAATAACATACATTTGAAGATATCTTCACAGCTTTCCATTGTTCGTCCATCAGCCGTTTTGCACATTGCATTTTGGGATTGCCTTATTGCTTAAGCATACATATGATGCTTCTATAAAATGTACCAAAATATCGTCATATTTTAATGTATCTAATAAATGAGCCAGTGTTCTTCTAAGGAATGCCCATTTGATGACTTAAATGCTGCATGTTTACACATCTTACTAGGTTTTAAAACATTACCTTTTCCTTTTCCAGTAGTTAAGTGATGTATCACGAACTGATACTTCCAAGTTTTCTGCCTTGTTAGTAAGGCATACATTGTATTTAAACAGAGAGCAGTGATGGAATTACATGCAACCTCTTTATTGTATTCATCATTTGAGACTTAAAACTCACTTCTGAAAGAGTTCACCTAAGATTCAGCATCAATGTTCTTTTATTTGCTTTCATGAATAAACATTACACCTTCCCTTAGTTTTAAGTTTTTTACCCAGTAGGCTACAGTACAGATCCATAAACACACTAGTGTGGGCTTTCCTTGACACTTTTACATTGCACAAGTCATATGCCAGGATACTTGGCCCTGTGAGCTCATAAAAGGTGGCTTATAAACAGGCCACAAAAGCGGAAGTGCAAATTAGTTTGAGGGATTAGATAGAGTTTAGTATGAGGACATTTTCTGTCAGCTGAAGTGCGTTTAAACTGCCTCAAGGTCGCAGAAGGCTGAAGGCAGTGAGTTTGCATGAAGGCTTATAAGAACTTATGGATTTTCAGAGCAAATATTTGAGGATATTTTAAGTCTGGCATCTTGCTCAAGTGAACCACTTAGCTGCACAGGCAGGATGAAGTGGTTTTAGGATTAGAGCAGGCACACGCAAGCCTGCACGCAAGACAAAGAAGCTGTTAGAACTTCTGATTTTGATTCTAATTAGTTCAGATTGCAGACATTATTTTGTCAGTGATGACTAAATAGACTTCTGATTATACTGCATTTGGTGGTTCAAAACAATGGCCGTGTATTGTGTAGTGCGAAGCAACATTAAGCATTTATCACAATGTGTCAGTTGTAATAAGACATTGTATCTCCAAACCATTGAAGGAAAGAATGTTCTAAACTCTAAACTAATATATTTAAATTGCAAGTCAAATTTTCAAGCATTTCTCATCTTAAAGTGTTCACCAAATGTGAAGGACAGTGGTGTTTTTCAAATGGGGTCATAAGGAAAAAACAAGGTCACATGGTTTTTGATATGATGATAGTATACTACAAATGCTTATGTATACAATGGCTAGGCTAATGAATAGGTAATCCAAGTAACAAATAACAAATATTGCATACATTGTAATTGTTTTATAAACCATATAACTGTGATAAGAGTGTATGAGTTGTAGAAATAGAAAAAAGTTTGTGATCACAGCATTATGATTTTTCAGATTTGTTGGTAAAAGATCCAAAATCTCTTTTATGGCTTTAGGGAATCACATGCAGCTGATGCTGATTAACTGCATTCTTTCATTCCCTCCATTTGCCCTTATCATGCCGTATTGAAACAGCATGGGAAACATTTCATTTTTATTCAGAAAAGGCTTTGATTGCAGGAAAACTCGAGGGTGAGTGGAGTTTGTATGCACTCAATGAGTACAGCGACACAAGCTTTTGAGTGAAGCTTGAGTGATGATCACATTATGCATGCAGCTTGAGACCTAATACATTTTCAAGTGTTACATTACAGCTCCTCCGAACTCTTAAATGATTTTCACTTTGAAATGTGGTTTCAAAGACAGAGTGTCTTTGTCTGTTTTGCAACTGAATTGTCTTTTTTCCTTCAAATTCCAGAGTTTGCAAATTAATGATTAGCGTAAACATTTGTGAAGGTATTCAGAGTTATTAGAATACCTTGATAATACTAATTGCCAATCTTTTGTAGACTGTACCAATGCAGGTCATATCTATGCTGCTTTTGCAAAATTCTGCATACCTCTAATGTGTCTGGCAGCTTGGTATTTGGCATTCATAGCGCCTATGTTTCTCTCTCTCTCTCTCTCTCTCTCTCTCTCTCTCTCTCTCTCTCTTTGTCTCTCTCTTACAGTCTCTTTCTGAGTTGATGTAGACAGTCAGGAGCCAAAAATTCCTCTCTGACTCCTGTATGAATTGTTATTGTGCTGTGGTGGTTAATGAGTGTGAGGCAAATGGCAGAGATTATGAACTGCACATGCCTCAGAAGCCTGACAGGCTGGCATTAGTACAGGAGATGCTTTCAAACATGTGAAAAATCTGATGATACTCCTCTAAGAGCTTGATTAAGGAAACTACTGTGAATGATAAACCATCATTGACTGTATGCTCTCTCCTGTCAAGCCACATCACTTGTATAGCTACCAGGGCACGACTGATGATGAAAATTTTATGGCGAACAATGATAACAATTTTAGTTTTAGTTGAACAGTGCTTTACAGATAGATATGATTGTCAGTTCTCAATTGTCTTACTGCGGATAAGCAGCAGAAACTCATAAAGTCATAAATAATATAAATATTGTAGCACTGGGAGAGAAGCTTCATAGAATTCTTTGAATTCAAAGTAATTTGAAAACCTGCCCTGATGAATGGCTATCTTGGTCATCTGATCAGATTGATGAAACCTTGCAGTCTCTGATGACTGACCGAAATCTTAAAAAGCAATGCTAATAAAATCAAAGGTTGTCAGTGTTGTCCGATATATCAGCCAGCTGATACATTTGTTTGCCAGGAACAACACATAAAAATGACACTTTCAGGCTAACACTGTTTATTAATACTGTTTATTAATGACCGCTGTCCTTGATAAACTAGTAAAATTAGTAACACAAACATTAGTAGTAAACATTAGTAGACAAATCAGCAATTAAAATTTACCTTTTCAATTAAGTAGCAATGATTGGTTAGCAGTTTGCACTTTCACTTTCAGTAAGAAACAGAGCTTAATGGGCACACACATTAAAATATACTGGAACCACTTTAGACTAAGACTACCCTTATAATGGATTTATGAATGGTTATAAATTTGTTTATTAATGGTTATTAATTAGGTATTGAAAATCATTAACAAACAATTATAATAAATTAATAAAAGGGCAAAATGTGACTTGTTATATCTGACGGATATGAATACCTGAAAAAACTGATGGGCATAAGGCTAACTGATGGAGAAGACAAAGTAAGAGAAGTAATCAGCAAGATCTGCAGTTTAACTGTATAGATGAATGTGGGTTCACTATTAGGCAAACAGCAGGTCATTGTTGCCCTTTTTAATTTGTGTGTGGTTTCTGCATTTTGATGATTTTTTTTTTTAAGAGAGCCTCATTAATAACCATTAATAAACTCATTTTAAACCATTCATTAATAGGGTTAGACTTCTATTCTAAATTCTATTCTAAATTCTAAACAATTCTAAATTGGTACTGATATATTTTCCCCACATATTAGTTTTCTATTTTTAATTAAGTATTTTTAGAGGATTACAGTTTATTTTTAGTATTTTTGAATCTTTGAAATGCTGTGCATAGTTTAATATTGCTCTGTTAAGTCCATTTTTATTGTTTGATCCTTTTAAAACTCTGACCACTTATTATTTCTCAATCATCAAAATAATTGATCATTACTCAGTTACTAGTTTAATCAATAATGACAGCCCTAATTGAGAAGATTGAGAATAGGTTGTCTGTTCCGTTCTTTCTGTGTGCCTCACTCTCTTTTGGTCTTTCCTTACAGACTCCACTGCCTGAGGCCTTGGATACACAGGACACTATGAAACAGGTAAGTACTGAACGTCATGAAACAGCAGCGTGGCCAGTCATCAAGCTTTGACCTCAACCTCTCTGACTCCTAAAAGTCACTGATATCGTGCATATGTGCACAAGATTATAAATGGAGGGCCTTGGCACTACAGAGATAAAGGCAATGCAAGCATCATCAAAACATTCTGCAGCATTCTATATATGGCTTACCAGGCATGTATTTGTTTTGAAATGTAATTCTTAGGGTTAAGAGTTAGATCTAATTGCTTTAGACCAACATCCACATCAGGATAGCTGCTCTGTGGCAGCTTTAATGAATTAGGCTATTTACTAGTTTCAATTCTAGCCATTGTGGGTTTCGCATACGTGGCTTTTTCCCTGTACAGTTGAAATGATCTGATTCAAACCAAGCTAGATGGCCTACTCAGTAGTATGTACAGATACAGTACAGATGTGTCACTAATACAGATGCTAATTTTAAAGTACTAAAAATTCTGTTAAAACATCATATTGCATTATTATATATTATGTGACGTGTGTTTTATCATGCCTCATGCCAAAGGTTAGGTTTGGACGTGCAGTCTTGTTAAAAACTTTCAACACCTCTGGTCAAATTACATGTTTTGTTGATTTTCTATGTGAAGATAAGTGAAGGCATCGTTTACATGGAAGAAAATTAAATACAGCAAATTTTGATCCACAATTTCTAGTTATTTGTTGAGTTTAACGTATTGGGAAAAAAAAGCATAAAATCTAAAATATGCCATAACGTTTGCACGGGCCACATTATATGATTAGTGTTTTTTTTTTCCAATATGTGAAATTCAGCAAATAAACGGTAATTTGCATTAAAATTGCAGAAGTGTTCTCTGTAGAGGATGTGTCTTTTTCATTTAGAAAATCAGCAATAATGTAAATTGGCCAGGGGCCCCCAGATTTTGCATGTGACTGTATGTTATATGCTTTGTTATTGTAACCATGAAGATGTTTTGCAGTTCAGAAAGGCTGTATTACTGTCATAATTCATAGTTGTATGAAAACAAGAGCGTAAAAAATCTACATAAATTAATCATTTTCTTCACCTTAGAGGTGTATAATTCTGTCTAATACAGAACAGGTAAATCCAATTAGTATTTTTGTACTTTATCAAGGGATTTTTGCTGATACTGATAAATATGCAGAACATTAATTGTTGACTAGTTTTATCAACATATATATTGGTTGAAATTATGATATATGTCAGTAGTACCTAGAAATTCTTGTCTCTACCATAGCTTTGTTAAAATGTTGACCTCAGAAGCATGTTATGTGCTTTTATTATTTACTGGACACTAAAGTTCTAATACACATATGTTCAGAGACACCTTGTAAAGAAATTCACTATTTGGAAATATTTATGAGTGTGTGTATCTATTAAGCCAGGTTAATTATTCACTCCCCCAAAGGGCTTTAAACCTGACTAATGACATCTCTTACATCATATGATGTTTCCTCCCTTATCATATCATGTGAAAGACTGAGAACGAGAATCACTCTAAAAATGTTGTTGCTCTTGCTCTGAACCCAGGACATCAAACCTAGTCCACAGTAAATCACCATATGTTTCTGCTCCACTGCTGATATAACAAGTTTGCACTGAATCCCTTTGTTGTTTTATGTTGTATTGAATTTTCTGGAAAAGGGTTATTATATAAAATTGTTCACAATTTTTATAACCTAATTAATACAACTATTTGCTCTGGGGAGCTGATCCCAGATCTCCACTCTGTTCAGAAATTTGCTGAATATAGCTGTTCTTTTCCTCAGGATGTTTTAAATGACTTTTGGTCTTGCCTGGTTACTGCTGATACTGTTGTTCATTTGTTTATTTATGTTCTAAATCTATATACTTTCCATGCAGGGCCAGAAATCAAGAGTCAGAGGCAAACTATAGAGTGAAGCATAAAGTGAGGGTTTGGCCAAAAATAAACAAAATAAATAAACTTGCTTATCACATGGTGATAAACAGTTGTTCATTGCATAGCTAAAACAGTAGGAGCAGCCTGAATTTTGTTTCCCATTTTGGTAGATAACAGTAGCCTATGTCATATAATGTCTGAAACTGCATGAACAAGTCTTGAGATCACTTTCCAACTTCACACCGTTTGAGGCAAGTGTGTGATTTAGGAATGTAGTTTGCAAGTGTCTAACAGTAATAGGTTCCATTACTTGTTAGCCACATTAGCTTTGTAGCTCCAGGGCAAAACTAAAGAAGCAAACTTCAGACGCTGAACACGGCTTTGACATAAGGGGAAAATTCAGTTATACTTTACTGAAGGTCAGCATTCTTAATGTTACATAACATCTGCATAAGCCTTTCATGACAACTGACATAAACCTACGTAGACATTTATAAAGATCTATTCCATGCATCACTTGTCATCAGATGTGGGTAGTAATTAGTTAAAGTTATTGAAGTACATGTACTTAAGTAAAATATTGATGGATTTGTACTTTCCTAAATACAACCCCATTTCCAAAAAAGTTGGGACGCTGTGCAAAATGTGAATAAAAACAAAATGCAATGATGTGCAAATCATTTGAATCCTATATTTAATAAAAAAAAACAAAGACAACAGATGTTGAAGCTGAGAAATTTTATTGTTTTTTGAAAAATATATGCCCATTTTGGCTTTGATGCCAACAACACATTCCAAGAAAGTTGGGATGGGGGCAACAAAAGGCTGGTAAAGTTGTGTATTGTTAAAAAAAACACCTGGTGGTTGATTGAAAAAGGTCAGTAACATGATTGGGCATAAAAAAGCATCCCAGAGAGGCTAAGTCTTTCATAAGTAAAGATGAGGAGGGCTTCACCACTCTGTGAAAGACTGCACGATAGTGCAACAATTCAAGAATAATGTTTCTCAGCATAAAATAGCAAAGAACTTTTGCTTTTCATCATCTATGGTACATAATATCATTACAAGATTCAGAGAATCCAGGGGAATCTCTGTACGCAAGGGACAAGGCCAAAAAACAGTAATTATTGGCCGTGATCTTTGGGCCTTCAGGCGTCACTGCATTAAAAACAGACATGATTCTGCAGTGGAAATCACTGAATGGGCACAGGAACACTTCTGAAAACCACTGTCTATGAAAACAGTTTGTCGCTGCATCCACAAACGCAAGTTAAAACTCTAAAACGCAAAGAAGAAACCATATATAAACAGGATCCAGAAACGATGCCATCTTCTCTGGGCCTGAGCTAATTTAAAATGGACTGAGGGGAAGTGGAGAAGTGTCCTGTAGTCCATCAAATCAACATTTGAAATTCTTTTTGAAAATCATGGACCCTGAGTCCTCCTGCCTAAAGACCACTCAGCTTGTTATCAGCATACAGTTCACAAGCCAGCATCCGTGATGGTACAGGGTGCGTTAGTGCACATGGCATGGGTGATGTGCACATCTGTGAAGGCACCATTAATGCTGAATGATATATACATGTTTTGGCAACATATGCTGCCATCTAGATGACGTCTTTTTCAAGGAAAACCTTGATTATTTCAGCAAGACAATGGTACATTCTGCCTGTATTACAACAGCTTTGCTCCATATTAAAAGAGTCCGGGTGCTAAACTGACCTGCCTGCAGTCCAGACCTGACCTATCACCCACTGATAACATGTGGCACATTATGAAATGAAAAATATGACAAAAGAGACCCCAAACTGTTGAGCAGCTGAAATCCTATATCAAACAAGAATGGGAAAACATTTCACTTTCAAAACCACAGCAGTGTCTCCTCAGTTCCCACACATTTACAGAGTGTTGTTAAAAAAGAGGTGATGAAACTCAGTAGTAAACATGCCCCTGTCCCAACTTTTTCAGAACGTGTTGCTGGCATCAAATTCAAAATGGGCATATATTTTTCAAAAAACATTAACATTTCTCAGTTTCGACATTTGATATGTTGTCTTTATAGTATTTTCCTTTACAAATATGGTTTACCTGATTTGCATATCATTGCATTCTATCTTTATTTACATTCTGCACAGTGTCCTAACTTTTTGGTAAATGAATGTAATTATTTTCAAACCATTATAATTCCACTCACATATATTAGTAAGTAAAGGAATTTACTTTTTGCTCAGTTACATTTTTGTCATTCATATATAGTTCCTAATTCCTTTTTTGTGTTGAATTTCATGTTTTGCTGGTGACATCATCTGTACTGCTTTGGTCACACCTCTGACTGGAACTTTAGCATTTTTGACCAAAATAATCAGAAAAAGAGAAGACTAGAGCCTAACAAACTTAAATTACTATGCTGATAGGTGCATAATTTACTAAAAAGCTCTGATGCAGTTCAATAAGTTATGTAGTCCCTAAGTAGTTTTTTTGACCTGATACTTTGTACTTCTATTCAAGTAGTTTTATGGGAAGGTACTTTTATGTGAGTCGTTATTTTACACAAAAATCAATATTTGAGTATGGATTTAGGTTACTAGCCTGATGAAATCAAATGAACAAAAGCAGTCTTCATGATGCATTGTGAAATAAGCCTTTATAAATGTTTATGTATGTTTATATCAGTTGTCACAAAAGGCCTATGTAGGTGTCATGTAGCGTTGAAATGCTGCCCTTCAGTGAACTTATTTGATTTTTGGTTAAAACCATAGCTTTAACCCTCACTTTCCTTTACCCTCCTCCAACCAAAACTGACCCTCATCCACTCAGTCTGGGTCTTATCTGTGCCCCTTTAAGAGGTGCTTTAAAGGGAGTTCTCTGGTCTCGAATAGGAGTGAAAGTGTAGAGCTTGGTAAAGTCGTGCTTGAGCCTATGTCTTTTTTCAGTGACCCACGCTCTCACACTCATCTCTTCCAGAACTGGAGTGGTTTTTGATCTGAAAGCCCACATGTACATGAAAAGAAGTCACTACTGTACTAAATGTATCTCCACATGCTTTGTAAACACCCTTCACTACCTGTCCACCTTTGTGCACAGCTGTAAATACACAGCTTAGTCAGTGTGAATAAAATGA